CATTAACATAAACCATCTACAGTTACCTCCACACCTCTCTATGGTGACTGGTCTTAATTATGACAGACACTTACATAATCTTCAAGTAGTGAGAGTTCATTATTAATAAACTTTACATACCTGTGTCAAAAAAACATCATTCACTGACCTTACTATAAATTGTATCACAGTAACGAATACATTTCACAGTTGCGGCACATGAATTTAGGATGTGATCAGTATATTTAAATGCTGTACCTGTCCCCAAATGGAGCCTTCAATCTGGAGCGCTTTGTCAAACAGTTGCATCATTTTAATGAACTTCTCTTCACCGTACTCAAAGCGATGGCCAAACACCAGGGAGCAGATGATGTTGGAGACAGTATTGTTGAGAATAAGGTGTGGATCGAATGGCTTACCTCCAGAATAGACGAGAAACTTTTATGTAAACTGTGAATTTGTTCATTATAAAATCTCACTGTGTAATAAGCACGTACCTTTATAGCTTCTGATGTTTTTTGCACAATACGTAAATTCATCCAGGACCACAGATTCAAGTGACTTCTTGCCAAATCCAAACTGTCTAAGGGTCGAAAGTACAAAGCGTCTCTGCTGCTTCCAGAGGTTTCCACTACTGGTAAAGACACCTGACCAGAAATAGAGAGGGGAAAGCAAACAAAAAAGAACCTTAAAACTTTGAACTTTCAAGCTTTGGGTCTGTTTTGATCTATAGTAGTCTTACCTAATCCATGTGCTATATCAGTCTGTAAAGGAAGGTCCGGGCGGTCCGCCAGGCTGTCTCCCTGCGTCACTAGAGCTTCTCTCAGAATATCAAACCCGTTTAAAACCACCATCCGTTCCTGTCCCATCCGTAGACTGTACACATTTCCATATCTCTCTGCTAACTGGCAAAGGATTTATCAAAGAAGATACACACAAGGCTTGAGATGAGAATATGAGTTAATAAGTAAAATTTGAAGATTAACAGGTACCTGTGTCATACTCTCATGGGCCCTGTTCTGATCTATAGTGAATAGGTTGCCCATAATTGGAAGACCCCGGGGTCCTGGAGGATAGCCTGCTGGCCGACGATTCTTAATATAGTCTGCAGTGATGATGAAAACTGCAGCAAAGAGCAGCAGACTCTTGAGATCCCAGGAAACATAGGTTCCAATTACAGAAATGATTGAATCCATTCTGTAAATACAGTCACTGTACGTGGATACGATTTCTCCTGTAAGACAGATGACTCAGTCTGAGAGTAGGAAACAAGTGCTATCACTGCAGTGAGGGCAAAGCTCAGTATTACTATCACTTGATAAAGCAAATAAAGTTTACTCTGAACTCTGGCCTTATTTCATGGAGAAAAAAGGATGTGAAAAACATTTTTAATCTAGGATGCTAAAATCAAGTATTGTTGCTCAACAGTAGAGAATCTTTTTGGCTTGAGGGTGGCTTGATTAGATTTAAGAAATAGCCAAACTTTAATACTTCAGTTCTTATTTTTACCACTTTAAAACTGCTATCTTTGGGACAACACTATCATACACAGGAAAAAAATGCTCATTAGAATCTTGAAAATGAGTTTGTAGTTTTGCCATTTGACAGAGTGGAAGATGTGAGATTTTTGAAGCCTTACATGATCATAAAATGACATGTTATCACAACCAACCATGGTCAAACCTGCGTTTCTTCAAGGCTGACTTTTAAATGTACCAAAACTAAAATCCTGTTTCCACTTCTGAGAACTTTGGTGATATTGTCCATTGAAATCTGGCAGTGTCACCTGGTTTGTATTTGCCAATGAGCCTTCATTTCAGGCAATAGTGTGCGTAGGGGTGAGGTAAGAGATCTGGGAAAGCCAGTGGTGTTCTTTTCACCTTATTTAACGAACTAACTCTGTTGTGAATTTCATGCCATGTTGTTTAAACAGAAAAGCGACTCAGATTAATTTAAGCAGCAGGCTAATTTGAGGAAAACAACTCTAAAGAGAACAAAAGTAGGACAAGTACAAAAACAGTGGCTTTAAGAACATGGCCAAATTCATTTTCCTTAATGTTGCAACACTTTTCAGCACAAGGTGGTAGCACAGAGTATTAAAAGTAAAGTTCCAAATAGCAATGCATTAACATTTTGATTAATGTTGCAAATGAATCGATTGCACGATCTTAGGATAATATGCAAAATTCGTTGTTGTCCATAAAGAGCGACCCGGACTGATTAAAAGTGAGATAAAGCAATTTTAAACATCAACACAGAGTTTAAACGATGGGTATTAAAATACAGTGTCTTTGTAACGTCGACGTTGCTTTCACGTTAATCTAACTTGAAACTCATAAACACCGTCTGGATAACGAGACGCCGTCCCAACTCGGAAATCCGACCCTCGGGGGAAGTAGAGGATTGACTTCAAAATAAAATACAGGTCGTTTAAATAAAACAGTTGGAGCTTTGATCTGTGAGTCGAAGTGAAATGTTTTGCTTATCGAGCATTTTGTGTCCTGCCTCTGAAGTATAAAAAGGATCCCAAATTGTGTTGCCACCAAATAATCCGCTTGGATTCGAGGTGGCCTCTAAATAATATGTTAAACGTGCACTCTGTTTAAAATTTGCAATACGTATGTTCACCTTTCCCCAGGCAATGAGTCGACAAAGGTAACGAACTGAAGTTTAATTTTGAAAGTAAAGCAACTGGAAGTCTAGTGTGTGCCTTCGCTAGCCTATTGCCCAGTGCCTTTTGATTGCATAACGTCTCCAAAATCTGAGAAGAAGGCTTAGTTAGGTCCTGTTAGATCTCCAGGGGACCAACAGGCAAATGAGTTATTTGGGGCATTTGAGACAAATTGTGTGTTTTCAATAGAAACCTACATAGATAGTGCCACCTTTAATCCACTGAGTCTTTTTTGGGTATTCCAACCTGACATTTTCTGGCAAATAGTTTCTTTCTCTAACCACTACATACACCTTTTCTTCAAGTCCTTGTTGATGCAAATATCAGTGCATTCAGGGGTACTGACACTGTCAAGATGACCTACTGAAGTTCAAACTGTGTATCACAATGGATAGTAAAGGTTATTTAAGTCTATTTTTAGACAATGTTCCAAAAAGAGAAAATATCAACCTTCAAACACAGTAGTAGAGAGGACATGATTTAGCCACCGAACCTGGGCACGTCACAGTCCCTGAGTCTACCAAGAACTCCTCAAACATACCAAAGTAAGGCATTCTGTAAGTAAGACCTATGAAACAGGACAGTAATCCCAACCACAGCAGCAAATCTACAACAGAATGGTTGAAAAAGTAAATGCGTGAAATGCTGTGTTTATGCACAGGACTTAAGAATTCTGTGTATAAACAAATGCCTGCCAACCTCAGTGAACTAAACACTGTAAATGATTTCTCAGATGTTAATTAGTTACTACTGCTAAAGATGGTTCTACAAGTTCCTGAATGATAGGTTACGCTTAGTTTTTCACAGGTCTGCAGCAAATTCTGTGAAAATGTTCTTTTTCACACAACTGTATATATACAAACCGAAATATTTAGAAGAGTAGGGTACAAAAATACATAAACATTATAAACTAGGAAGGACAGATGTGCAAAATCTGTGAACATAATGTGCAAAGTACACAGCTCAGTGCAATGAATCCAGTGAGCAAACTTTTTAAATCTGGAGTATATAAGTTTAAGTGTGTGTTATGGTTATATCACACACACTCACATATTCAGTTCTTATTTCCAGGGGTACTGGTCCTGATGGGCTACAGCTCCTGGTACAGGGGAGTTTATGTCCATGGTGAAAGGTTCATCTCCAGTACTTCTTACCCACCACACGGTCCTGGCGTTGTACAGGTTTTGAATTGTAGGCAGAAGGCAACTAATGACAAGCAAGGTATGCAGAAGAGCATCTGTGAACACACAGCATGGTGAACCTTGAAGTGAATCGGCTACAGTAGTAGAAGACCACACCATGTGCCATTCCACTCAGCTAAGAACAGAAATCCAAGACTCCAACGTGAAGAGCAGCAGACTATTAAAATCCCAGGAAACAAATACAGCGAGTCAAAGTAAATACTGCATCTCATCTAGGTCAAGTAAGCTGATTTTTATTGTGATTGATTTAAAGTGCAATCTCATCAGATAAAAGAAACAGGCAAACTTCAAATGGCCTAATGCCATACATGTTCTTATTTTTCCCCAGTCCAAACCCCTCTGCTTGGTGCAGTAAGTACATTAGTAGTAATACACACATAAAGACTGTTTGACGGTTGATGATACACCTTCTGGTGCCCCTGGACACATCATCAGTGATGTAACCTGGGGTCGTTGGGGGTTTCGGGTCTTTCAACAATCAGACCCCCTCTCAGGCGACCCAGCCATGGGTTGATCAAGCCCCAGCTTGTGTCCAGGTAGCGCTACCCTACATGCCATGCCTCTCCTCTTTTGATCCACAGCCACCTTGACGCTGCTTCTGCTGCGCTGGTGACCACCTTGATAGCTCTTCACTAGTTACCCCCTACGATGCCTAGCATTTTGTATGCCCTGCAAAGGGATTGACCCGCGAATCCTCAACATCCCACTTCGATGGGTTGGCATCTTGCCCGCCAGCCATTACTCTGGCACTCCTCCACTAGCTTGGAATACTTTGTCCTCTTCCTCTCATGAGCTTCCTCCATACGGTCTTCCCAAGGCACAGTAAGCTCCAGAAGGATTACCTGCTTGGAGACAACTGATGTAACAACTATATCTGGCCTCAAAGTTGTCTTGGCTACCGCTTCAGGGAACTTTAACTGCTTTGCCAGGTCAACTTTCAGCTCCCAATCGTGCGCCATTGCCAACAGGCTAGGCAAGGTATTTCGGACTGGTGCTGCTGGTTTCTCCCCAGCTTTTATAAATGTGACTGTATTCTTTAGAGTCTTGAAAATGAGCTGATGAATTTGATTTGTCAAAGAGTGGAAAACAGAACCTATCCTGGCTACCATAGCGTGAGAGGCGGGGTACACTGTGGACAGAGTGCCAGTCTATTTAAGGGCTAACACAGAGAGACAGACAATCATTCACACCTACAGACAATTTAGAATCGCCATTTCACCTAACCAAACTAATTGCATGTCTTTGGATTGTGGGAAGAAGTGGGAACCCCCGAACAGAACCTACGTAAAAACTGTGAGAACATGCAAACTCAGATGGTGGATTTGAACTCAGTGCCTGTGAGGCATTTCCCTCAGTCCTATATTTTGGTATTTCCCGTTTTTATATATTTTTTTCTTTCATAGCTTCCATGAGTTTTATGCCCTCGTTTATAGTCCTGCCTTCTCTGTGTCAAGATGCCCATGGAACCTGCCCTTTTTCTAGTGTTTAGCTGTTGGAGTCTATTCTGTTTGCTTTTGCATATGTGTGTGTGCTTCCTCATGTGTAGTTTAATTTTTAATCTTGTGTACTTTGTGTTTCCTGGTTTTGCTTTTAGGCCATTAAAGCTGCATAACATATATGTAAGTCCAACAACAGGAAACAGAAAAAAGGATCGACTTGAAAAATGGACCAAAAACAAAGGAGGTATGGAGATTGATGGTGAGACATTAACTGGTTATCTCAAAAGCAGTATTGCGTAGACAACAAACTGGGAGGCAAAAAGGCGAGAAAAACACAAAGTACACAAAAGGTAACTTCAAATCATGCAGGCAATTCTTAGAAATATACAACACTTTTACAGATTTGATGAGGAATAAAATTGACAAGAGTTCTGTAACTGCTGCTGCAAACTGTCAGGTCCTTCTAAAAGCATGCATGAAAGATATGTCTGTGAGGGTTCTCAGTCATCCAGGTCATCGTAGTCTAACGAGCTTGGAAAGAAAAGCATCTGGACTTCTTTAAGTTGCTTGAAGACGTTTCACCTCTGATCCAAGAAGCTTCTTCAGTTCTAGGTTCAAATGGTGGAGAGTCCCAGATTTAAGCCCTGTGGGAGTGTCCCCCCACAGAGGGACAATGGACCCCCTAATGATACTCTATCTAATCACACAAGCCAAGGTGTGAAAACGGGTGTAGGTCACAATAAGCCAAGGTTTTGGGTGAGCTCATTGTGAAACCTAGCCCCGACCTATCATGTGATTTCCTGAGGTCAGATGGCCCAGGATGTGAGTGGGCATTAAGGTGTCTGGGAAGGATCTCAAAACTGGGTTATAGATGGCAGGCAGTTGGTGTCATAAGCCACCACCTCTGTTCAAAGATGGCCGTTCTTAACTTAACAATGTAGTGTATGCTGTAGAGTTTAGCGAGGAATGCTCAGACCTCTACATTGGAGA